TCCGGGTGCTACAAGATATTCAAAAACCACTGTATCTAATAATCAAAGTCGTTAGTGAGAAAAAAAAATATATATATATAATATATTTTCTAGAAAAAAATCTGTTTAACACAGACGTGCCACTTGGCGGGCCAAGGTATGACAGACATGAGCCACAGCATACTCTCTAGAAGAAGCTCGACGCTTCACTTACTGTCACGACGATCATGTCAGGGATTAAAAGATCAGCTCTCGTTTGCCAAAATAAAACAGAAGAGCCTATTTTACCTGGAAGGGATAGGAGAGAAAATTCTCGGATTCTCGGTTCCTTTCCTCCAATTTCTCCTCTGGCTTCGAAGCAAGAAGAAACTATAGCACAAAGGAAAGATGTCATTTTATTATCGGTGGAAGAACTTCGACGAGAACGAGGATCGACCGGAGAAGCCTCGTAGGTACGGCGTTACGGAGATACGAGTTCCTCATTGCTCCCTTTTGGGTCGAAACGTCATCCAGGTTCTGATTCGTTCAGCCTTTGTATATACCGTCTGTTTATGTTTCATGTCGAAACGGTTGATGGGGATTCTGGTATATGCATCTGTGAAATTTTTTATATTTTTTGGTTTTCCTGGTGTTGCTTTGTGGATTGATTTGTTTTGTCGTAATTTAATTAGGAACAGAACTTCTGTTTGTTCTTGAATCTTTAGAAATGCACTCTGGGGTTTGCTGATAATATTTCCCTGGTTTTTATCATCTTCGACTCACACCAGCTTCCCTTAAAGTTTTATCTACAAAACAGTAGTTTTCTGCAATTTTCCCCGTTAAGAAAATGGATGTAAATGATTTTTATCAGTTACTCAAAGCTAGACCTTTATTAAAAAGGGAAAAGAAGAGAAAGATCATATGAATAACTTAAATTTTTGCTGTCCGAGAATAATTTAAGTAAATTGTAGTACGTGGGAAATGAATAACTTCTATATAAGAATTTCAATTAATGCAGATTCCTGAGGGTGATTTTAGTTTGTTGAGTCTTAATTTTATTTTTAGTCATTGCGTGTGGCAGGATATTTTTGAGTCCATGGGACAATTTGTTGATGGGTTGAAGTTCTCAGGGGGATCTCATAGTCTAATGCCAAGAGATATCATAAAAGAAGTGATCAATATGGCTCACAAGCATGATATGTATGTGAGTACTGGCGATTGGGCTGAACATTTGCTTCGCAGGGGTCCATCAGTGTTCAAAGAATATGTGGAGGTAAAACGTTGAGGAAATAATATGGTGCAATTTTGATTTCTTTTTTTCTTTTTTTGCATATTAGTTTCACATCTTTTGCTGATGCATTCACAGGAGTGCAAGCAGTTGGGGTTTGACACTATTGAGCTGAACGCAGGGTCCCTTGAACTTCCTGAAGAAACTCTTTTGAGATACTTGCGCCTGATTAAGAGCAGCGGTCTAAAAGCCAAGCCTCAATTTTCAGTAAAATTTAACAAGTCTGACATTCCTGTTGGCCGTGATAGAGCATTTGGGGCTTACATTGTCACAACACCTCGATCTACTGGTATGCCTACCATTCTTTTAGATGAGCAACTTGGTAGAAAATTTCCTCGGCTCTATATTATATAACATTGTGATTTTAGTTCCTGAAACAGAGATAGTTCACATCATCTCTTCTATTCACGTTTTCTTCATATAGAAGTTTAGGGTTAAGTAAAATTAGAGTTGGTGCTGGCAATTTAAAAAGTTAATCTAGTCTGTCATTCCGTTACCTTCAAGGTGACAGAAAGCACACTAAACAGTGATAGTACTTTTCCTGATTCCTAAAATTTTCGGTCAGTCAGAGACTGTCTCTATGGTTGCTTTTGATTTGTTTGAACTTTCCTGTGATGTCGGCTTTTTTATGAGGGTTTTCCTAGGGAAAGTGCACATACTCAACACATTTAGTTAGAAATTTTCAGCTTTTAAAACTTGTTTGTTAGAAGTTGTTAATGTGTTGATATTGTGCCAGCTTTATTTTGATAGCACATTTTTCTCGTGGTTTCCTTCACGAACTTTGTAGTAAAGTGGGATATAAAGATATAGGGAGAAAATCATATTTATGTGCAGCATATAATCCTATTGCTTAAAATTACATTTCTTTGAATGGAAAGGACTGATACATTTCTAATAGGAATTGGGGACTGGGACTTGATTGCTAATATATTTGATTGATGCTTGGCATCTGGCAACCATCTTTGTAACCATGAGCTTACCTCTAATTGTCGCAGAGTTTGTTGAGGACGTCGATCTTTTGGTCAGAAGGGCTGAGAGATGCTTAGAGGCTGGCGCAGACATGATTACGATTGATGCTGATGATGTCTGTAAACAGGCTGATTCTGTACGGGCAGACATAATAGCAAAGATCATTGGACGTCTAGGGGTTGAGAAAACTATGTTTGAAGCGTCAAATCTGAGAACCTCGGAGTGGTTCATCAAACATTATGGTTCTAATGTATGCTTTTTCTTAAATTCTTGTCTCATTGTTCCATTTAGATATTCTGAACTAATGCTTTTTTTTATGATATATCTTTTAAGGTCAACCTCTTTGTGGATCATTCTCAAGTGATGGATCTGGAGTGCCTTCGTGGTTGCAGCTTAGGTAAAGATCACAAATCTGTTCTTGGTTCCTCATACTTTCTGGTCTGAGTTGGTCATCTATCTTCTCAAGGAACTAGTCCTGTTATTGATGTAATTTTGTGATGTGTGTAGTGTTGTAAGTTTAAAAAAAAAAAAAAAAGAAAAAAAAGACTTGAAGACTTTATCTTGGCTTGTATTACTGTAATACTAAATCAAATGTAACTCTATTGACTTATATGTTATGTTTAGTTGGTTGTGCTCATCATACTGCTTGTAGTTTTCTAAGGCTCCTACTGGTTATTCAATGTGTAGAAGACAGTGCCATAATTACTTTGGCATACTCTGATACTAGTTTTGAGTGTCACTGCCAATGTGCTATCTAATTAGAGGATGGGATTGTTGAAGCAACATGCCCCATTTGTAGCTCTGCCTTCAACTACTCTTGTTTTTATCATCAGAAGATTATCATGGAGAAACTAAGTTTTTAGTTGGCAATCCTTTTGTGTTAGATTTCTCATGTTTGAAATGTTTGTCCTCCATATAAGAACAAGAAAAGTATATATGAGACAAATGTCAAAACAAAGATGGGCTTTAAAAAATTCAGTGTTTTAAGTGTTAAAATTTCCTTTGGAAGGAGGTAATAGCCATTTACTTATTAGATTTAAACGCTACTAATTTGACAATATACCAGACCCAGGTGTGAGCGAATAAGAAAAGAAAAATTAACATCAATCAGAAAAATAAACAGAAAAAATATTTCTTTGTTTCATTAATTTAATTATTTATGGAATTGACTTAAAAAGGAGGTTTGAATTGATGAATTTGCAGTTTCCCACCAAACGCGTGATGCAACGTTAATTTGTGGTTTGGTGGCCAACTAATAATCCAATCTAAAGCGTCTACATCTGCAAATATTGCTTCCTCAAAATAAGAACTAAAAGAATAGTTATTTGTAAGTTGTATTGAGGAAAACTGTAAGGTGGACTTACAGTGCTGATTAGGTTTTGAGTCGTCGGTGATGCTAGAGAAGGTCACGTGCTTACCTTCTACCTCTTGCATCCAACAACAAACGATAACGACTACCCACTCTTTCTGCTATAAAATAAACTCGCCACCTCTGTCATCTTCATATATATTCCTACGTACTTGTATAAGATATAGCACAAACTGTTGCTTTTGCCACTTTCATCAAATCGCCATATATAGATATATACATCGTTTAATTTTATAGATCATCTTTTAAATACGCAGAAGGATAATGGACACGGCAACTCAAGTAAAGAAGATGGCATGTGTGATTGGTGGAAGTGGCAACCTGGCCTCCATGCTCATCAACTCTTTGCTTCACAAGGGCTATGCTGTCAACACCACTGTAAGGGATCCAGGTTAGTTTTATCACCCATCTTCTCCCATTCCTATTATTCTCTTTATCTACGTGTGTGTGTATATATATATATATCATCATCATCATCATCATCTGAATCTACTGTCATATATATATATATATATATATATCATCATCATCATCATCATCTGAATCTACTGTCATTGTTTTTTGCAGACAATGAGAAGAAAACCGGTCATCTTAAAGCACTACACCAACTTGGTGACCTCAAAATTTTCAAGGGTGATTTAACCGATGAAGGTTGTTTCGACGCCCCTATAGCCGGTTGTCACTTTGTCTTCCATGTCGCAACACCAATCAATTTTGATGCTCAAGATCCAGAGGTAAGAACCTTCAACCAAACTCTATGCTTGTCATGTCACTCTGTGTTGCTCCATCTTTAATTCGTATACATGTGTAGAATGAAATGATCAAGCCAGCAGTACAAGGAGCACTAAATGTTCTCAAATCCTGCGTGAAGTCAAAGTCAGTTAAGCGGGTGATTTATACGTCTTCAGCTGCTGCAGTCTCAATCAATAAGCTCAGTGAGACGGGTGTTGTTTTGGATGAGAATGATTGGACTGATGTTGAGTATTTGACATCTGAGAGGCCACCTACTTGGGTAATGTATGATTTGATGCTTGATTATACATCCATCCGACTGATGTTGAGTATTTGACATCTGAGGCTGGGAATTTGCAGGGGTACCCTGTATCAAAGGCGTTGTCTGAAAAGGCAGCCTGGAAGTTTGCCCAAGACAATAATATTGATCTCATTGCTGTTGTTCCTGTTCTCCTCTGTGGTCCTTCTCGCCTTCCAGAACCACCACACAGCATACATCTTTCCATGTCTTTGATTACTCGTAATGCTGTCATTTTATCAGATATTGCTGCTTCTGGCATAACACAACTTGTTTATAAACAGGCAATTCAACGTCTTTGTGTGTGTGCAGGGAATGAAAACAAGTTAAAAGGGTTGATAGGTATGCAATTGATATCAGGTTCAATCTCCATTGTCCATGTGGAGGACGTCTGTGAAGCTCATATATTCTTGGCAGAGAAAGAAACTGCTTCCGGTCGGTACATATGCTGTGCTGTTAATACCAGTGTCCCTGAGCTCGCTAAGTTCCTCAGCAAACGTTATCCTCAGTACCAAGTCCCTACCGAGTAAGTCACTAGCCTGCCAAGATTCAATTTCCCTATACTGGATGGGCAAAATTAATATCTCATTGTATTCTGGTTGTAAACTTAATACAGGTTTGAAGGTGTTCCCTCCAAGCCTAAACTGATGATTTCCTCTGAAAAGCTTGTTAGGGAAGGTTTCAGTTTCAAGTATGGAATTGAGGAGATTTATGATTCAACTGTGGAGTACTGCAAGTCAACAGGGACCCTCAACTGAAGATGTAGTCAACATGTGATAAGTATGTAGCTTGAGATTGTGAAGCTTTGGCTGTACAAGCTTGTTAAATAAGCACCATTTTCTAAGTTTGGTATAAAATACTGCTACATGAACAACTTCAACATGTCTCTTTGCTTTCGATTTTGAGAGAATTAAACATGATTAAGAAAAAATTATTATGTGAACAATTTCAACACATCTCATTGCAGAGGCTTACGCTACCATCTTGCCAGTGAATTATTAATATATGCTATATAATCCAAAGTCTTAACAGGATACTTTGGATTATATTTTACAAGTTATTGTTTTTCATATATACTGTATAAACGGGAAGGAAGACTGCCATAGCTCATGTACACCTAAACAAGCATATGATGTAGTCTTTCTGCACAATATCCCACCAAGTTCTTGTGGTGTAATCTTACCTAGCGTTTAAACAAGAAGTTAACTTGAATAGAACAACAAATCATATGCATACATTTTCTCAATCAATATATATGGCTAGGTACGTAGATCAACGACCACTGCTAGTATAACAGCAAATTAAGAAGCAGCATGAACTTTAAGGGGCCATCTGAGCCTTATAAACACATCCAAATGCACGTATAACAATGATTGCTTTCTGTAAATCCCTGAAAATATAAACCAAATTAAGTATGTGATAAACCGCAAAGATCACCACGTCCATCACGCCTCACAACCAAACCCAAAAGGTATCTTGACTGAGAAAAAGCACATGTGCAGAATGCAAGCAAAACGTGCAAAAGAAGAAGAGAACCGTGCAGGAAAATGGAGCCTAGCCGTTAGCCGGAATCAGCCACATTCTTATCTTTAAAGCTTATCTTTTATTTTGATTTTTCTACCTAGTTTAGCCGTAGTTCAGTTAAGCACTCAATTGCAGCAATAAGAAATCATTTTAAATTTGCAAACATTTTGTGGTTATTTATCATCCAAACTAGAAGAAATTTTTCTCATTTTCAATAGGCTTCTGATTGGGACCTATCAGTATGATTATTGTATTAGTTGTTTTAATATTAATCAATACTAAATATCATATAGATAGGTAGATAGACATACTTTAGGAATATGTTGGAACTTCAGTAGATCAGATTTTGATGGTTGTAAGCCAAGAATAATGACATGGGTTACTATCCTCGACCTTTTGTGCTGTAAATTTGTCCCTAATCCTGGTAATACAGTGAATAAAGTATTCCAGTCCCAATGCAAAACCCACCAACAAATTCCCATGTTATCTTCTTCATTTTCCTTGTTCATCTCTATCAAGTTAATCGCTCATCACCACCTGTAGATTATTATTCAAACTTCTCATTTATATATATATATATGTTAAATTTAATGTTTTTTTTTGTTGAGTTTCAATTTTAGTTCAAAAATTTAATGTGAAGTTGTTTCACGGTAGGATACAAAAAACACCATGCAACGTGTATGCATGGATTTCGGGATATCTGATTTGATCGGTTAGTTGACGTAATCTGCTTCAATTTGTATTCCTATATATATACAAGCAAGAAATAAAAGATAAACATTTCTTCTTTCTCCAAAAACACTGCCTTTCAGAAAACAGCAAAACAGAGGCTGTTGCATAACCTTGCTCTGTTTTGCTGTCCCTCTCTCTCATCAACTTTCTCTCTCTAAGTTCTCTCATTCATAGAGCCTCCTTTGAAGCTTATTTGCTTTCGATCAACAAGTGCTATCAGAGCCCTTATCTTAAGGGACCGGTAAACCAACATACCCTCGAAAAATTCGATGACATCCACTGGAACCACACCCCCCCCCCACACTTCAACGGAGAAAACTACCATGTATGGGCAATCAAAATGAGAGCCCATCTGAAAGCCTTAAGTCTGTGGGATGTTATTATGGATGACAGTGATCCTCCTCCACCAGGGGACACTGCCACTCTAAACCAAATTAGAAGGCACGAGGAAGACAAGGCCAAGAAACCAAAGGCAATTGCTTGCCTTTTCTCGGCCGTCTCGGATAGGGTATTTTCAAGGATTATGAACTTCGAATCACCAAAGGCTGCTTAGGAGAAATTTAAGGAAGAATTTGATGGGGGAGTCAGAAGTAGAAAGGTAAAAATCTTGAGACTGAAGAGTGAGTTTGCATTACTCAGAATGCAGGAAAATGAATCAATGAAGGAATATGCATCCAAACTCTTGGATGTGGTAAACAAAATGAGACTGCTTGGGGAGGATTTTCCGGAATCAAGGGTAATAGAGCAGATTCTTATCAGCTTGCCCCCCAAATTCGAGTCTAAAATCTCAGCCTTGGAGGAGCTTGCAGACATTGAGTCTATCTCCTCGGCTGAGCTGATAAACAAGCTTCAATCCAGTGAGCAACGGGTAAATATGCATGTTTGACAACATACTGAGGGAGCCTTAATTTCAACTCAGATCAAAGGAAGCTCTTCAACACAGAATCAAGGGAGAATGAGTGAATGGAATCAAACTGGAAACTAAAATTCCAGTAAACAAAGGAAATATTCTCAGTGTAGTATCTGTTCCTTAACAAATCATTCTGAAAATGAGTGCTGGTATAAGGGAAAGAAAACCATTTGGTGCAATTTCTGCAAAAAGCTTGGTCATAAGGAGAAATTCTGTAGACAGAAACAGAAGCAGGAAGGATCACAGCCAAAGCAGGAACAACAGCAAGCCAATATCACCAAGGTGTCCTGTGAGCAAAGTGACACAATTCTCGTTGCGCTAAGTAAGCTGCTAGTGGAGGATGATACTCTCTGGGTGGTGGACAGTGGGTGCACCTCCCACATGTGCAAGGATGCGGGCTTGTTCGTGTCACTTGACAAAACAATCTCAGGCCAGGTTCGACTTGGAAATGGTATGCTGGAAACCATCAAGGGCAAAGGCAACATAGCCATTGAAACCAGGGAAGGTAAGAAGCTTATCACTGATGTGAATTTTGTTCCTACCCTCTTACAGAATCTTCTGAGTGTGAATCAGATGACTGATCGAGGCTACTCGGTCGGATTCAAGAATAACTGTTGCAGGATATATGATCTTGAGGATCGCTTAATCGCTTTCATCTAAAAGAAGGATCAAGTCTACTCCTTGAAGCTCAGAGAAGTAGTCGAGAGGGCCAGTGTTGCCTCTGTAACAGAAAGTGAGAAGTGACACAGGCGCCTTGGGCATTTTCATACGGCTGGGCTACAACAACTGCAAAAGGGAGGCCTAACCAAAGATTTCCCAAATATTGCAGTCACTAAGTCAGTATGTGGTGCATGTCAGATGAAAAAAATGACAAGGAATTCCTTTCCTTCGCAAGCAGATTGGAAAGTAAAAGAGAAGCTGACACTTATCCATTCTGACATCTGTGGTCCAATAACAGAAAAATCCATGAGTGGATGCAGGTATTTTAGTTTGTTCATAGATGATTTTTTCAGGATGATTTGGGTTTGTTTTCTGCAGAATAAAGCTCAAATTTTTGGTGAATTCAAGAAGTTTTAGACTATTATAGAGAAGGAAAGTGGCAGTATACTGAGGTGCCTAAGGACGGATAATGGCCTTGAATTCAATTCCATCAAATTCAATGATTTCTGTTATGAGAATGGGATCAAAAGGCAGTTCACGGCACCATATTCTCCTCAACAGAATGGTGTCTCGGAGAGGAAGAACAGAATTATTGTGGAAATGGCAAGAAGCATGTTTGCTGACAAGCACCTGCCTAAAGTCTTGTGGGCTGAGGCAATGAACACTGCCGTGTTCCTGCTCAACATGTTGCCTACAAAGGCTGTGAAGCAGATGACACCGGCGAAGGCCTGGAGTGGCATCAAACCATCGACTAAGTATCTAAAGGTGTTTGGCTCGGTGTGCTACTGCCATGTCTCGGATGACAGGAGATCCAAGCTAGAAGTGAAGGCTGAATTGGGAGTATTTTTGGGTTACAGTATTGAAGCAAAAGCATATCGAATTCTAAGCCTGAAAACCAACAAGTTTATGATTCGAAGAAATGCAACAGTGGACGAAAACAGCTATTGGAATTGGGAGAAGCAGAAAGTCGAACCAGACTGTGTGACAGTGGAAGAAGGAAAAAAATCTATGTCAGTATTAAACCCAACTCAGGCTGAGGAACAAGATGAATAAGATGAAGAAGATGAAGAAGATGATGAAGGTGAAGCAGAAGGGAGAACAAAAATGAAAAGTTTAGCTGACATCTATGAGAAGTGCAGCTTTGCTTCAAAAGAACCTTCCTATGTTGAGGAAGCACTTCAGCAGCAAGAGTGGAAACTTGCTATGGAATAGGAAATCAGGATGATCGATAAAAACAATACCTGGTCTTTGGTAAAATCAAGTGCAGACATAAAGCCTATTGGAGTAAAGTGGGTGTTCAAGGTAAAACTGAATCCGGACGAGACAACAAACAAGCACAATGCACGGCTTGTGGCAAAGGGGTACTCCCAGCTTCCAGGAATCGACTACACAGAGACTTTTGCTCCTGTGGCCAGATATGAAACAATTAGACTCATTCTGGCCATGGCAGCTCAGTTTAGTTGGAGAGTGATGCATTTGGATGTGAAATCGACTTTTTTGAATGGCAAGCTGAATGAAAAAATTTATATTGAGCAGCCACCGGGGTTCATTCAACCTGGAAAGAAAAAACATGTCTATCTTCTTCACAAAGCCCTATACGGCCTCAAACAAGCTCCACGAGCCTGGTATGATAAGTTAAATACATACTTATTTCACTGTGGGTTTGAGAAAAGCATGACAGAAACTACACTATATGTGAATAGAGATGAAGACAGACTTATCACTGCAGTATATGTTGATGATATACTGGTGACAGGCAGCAAAAAAAGAAAAATGATAGAGTTCAAGCTGAAATTGGAAAAGGAATTCGAGATGTCTGATCTTGGGGAGGCTACCTACTTCCTGAGAATGGAGATTCATCAAAGCAGCTTCGGTATTTTTCTTTCACAAGACAAGTATGCCAAAAAAATCATAAATAAATTCAACATGGATCACTGTAAATAAGTGTCTACACCACTGGTGTCCAACCTGAAGTTGTCAAATGACGAGAAAGGTAGCCAAGTTGATGAAGGAAATTACAGAAGTCTGATTGGGAGGCTTCTGTATCTCACGGCTACTAGACGAGACATTCTGTTTGCAGTAAGTTTGCTTTCAAGGTATATGGCCTCACCGAGGGAATCACACTTACAAGTTGCTAAATATGTGCTGAGGTACTTGAAAGGAACCTGGAACTTTGGTGTTCAATTCAAAGCAAGAGCTGTGGGTGGATTGGTCGGCTACAGTGATAGTAATTTGGTAGGAAACATGGAAGATGCACGTAGTACAACTGGGTACTTGTTTAAACTAGGCTCCGGTCCTTTCTCATGGGCGTCTAAGAAACAGGATATTGTGGCACAGTCCACAGCTGAGGTTGAGTATGTAGCTGCAGCTACAGCAGCTAACCAAGCAATTTGGTTGAGGAAAGTGTTCAATGATGTAAAGCTGGACAAACAAACACCTACAGTGTTGTATGTAGACAACAAGTCTGCAATTGCCATTGCGAAAAATCCTGTAATGCACGAGAGAACTAAACACATCAACGTTAAGTATCATACTATACGTGAAGTTATTTCACGGTAGGATACGAAAAACACCATGCAACGTGTATGTATGGATTTCGGACTATCTGATTTGATCGGTTAGTTGATGTAATCTGCTTCAATTTGTATTCCTATATATATACAAGCAAGA